CTGCACGGCCTACTGCTGCGCGACAGCGGCCTGGCCGCCAAGGTCGACTTCATGTCGGGTTTCACGGCCCTGCATTGGGCCGCCAAGAGCGGCGACCGCGAGATGGCGCTGCAGCTGGTGGAGGTGGCGCGGCGAGGGGGCGCGCCCGTGGACGTGAACGCGCGCTCGCACGGCGGCTACACGCCCTTGCACCTGGCGGCGCTGCACGGCCGCGAAGACGTCGCGGTGCTGCTGGTGGGCCTGGGAGCCCAGGTGCACGCGCGTGACCACAGCGGGCGGCGGGCCTACCACTACCTGCCGCAGGGCTCCTCCTATGCGCTGCGCCGCCTGCTCGGCGACCCTGGCCTGCAAGGCTCTACCGATCTTGATGCGATCGGCGGTGTCAACGGCAGCCTTGCGGCCCGGCGCCCGGTGCAGGTGGCCGCCACCATCCTCAGTTCCACCACCAGCGCGTTTCTAGGCGTCCTGGCTGAGGACCTGATGCTCCAGGACCTGGCTCGAGGCTTGAGGAAGTCAGGCTCCTTAAGCAAGTTCTTGGGTGCCTCGCCCATAGCTCCTCGTAAAAAGACGAAGGCCCGCAGTGGCCTGCCTGCCTTTTCAGAAATCTCTCGTCGATCCACTCCGGGACCCTTCGCTGGCCTGATGCCCACCCTGCCCCCCACAACCTGATAACCCCCGAGGCTACGGCTCTGTTGATCTAATCGGTCTAAGCTTGCGCATGACGGCGGCCCAACACTTTCGGCTCCATCCAGTTTCCAGCTTTGTCCCCTGCAGTGTTTTACCCAGGTGGGCCTACGCCTCCCGCTTCTATCTGTAGCTTGAACTGGCTCCGAAGGTGGGCGTCAAGATCTCAGTGATCTTGAAGAATGCCAGAAGTCAGGCTTAAACTCTGGGTGACTTGAAATTTAGGACCAAAGGTTAAGGGGCAGCAGCTGGTCTGACCCCTGAATGAGTTAATCTAGTGCCTCTGCATCTATACACGCCCAAGCCAGAACCAGCTGCAAGGGTCTTTTTCAGTGTTGCGTGAGGTTGGGTGGTTTGTCAGCTTTAAGATACTAGTGGTTTTGTAATTTGATGCTTTTATCCCGTTTTTAAACTGAAATGAGGGAAAACAACTTTCATAATAACCTTTTGAAATGATATTTTTCCATTTTGAGGCAAAACGCTTACACACTTCTGACCTTTGGTAAAGATTTTGGAATTCTATTCAAAAACATAATAATCAAGATCTAAAGGAAATTAGTCCCAGCCAACAAAACCCCTAAACGTTTATCTACCTCGTTTTAGGCAATCAAGAGTCCAGAGAGTCTTGAATACAGAAAATGACCATTATAAATGTAATTAATTTCACTTGTACTACGAATACTAAATATTAGGAAACAAGTGCATCTGGGGAGTAAAGGTGATTTAATTAAACAAGAGAAAAGAGACATTTGGACACAGACTTTTAATTTGTGGTTATCTTTATTGTGAAATATAAACCTGTGTCTTTGGCACTGGGTGGCTATTTTGATTTTGCATGAATATTTAATTAAGTGTGATCTATGTGAATTGCACTGCTGTACCATGTTTCTGAATCTGTGGTTTTTAAAATCTGGCTGAGACTTTCAGTACAGTAGGTGAGGATTCAAAGTTGGGCTGCCATTCCAAAAAAAAAAAAAAAAGCCATAACATTATACCAGAAAAATAACTGGTAAAACAGTAATGAATACAATTAAGGACCAACCATTTTACATGAAAGTTCAAATAGAAAAAGTAGATGACATCCATTTTTAAAAGCCATCTGAACCCGGCTGGGTGTGGCTCAGAGGTTGAGCATCGACCTAGGATCCAGGCGATCAGGGTTCGATTCCCGGTCAGGGCACATGCCCAGGTTGCAGGCTAGGCAGCCAATCAATGACTCTCTCATCATTGATGTTTCTATCTCTCTCTCCCTCTCCTTCCCTCTCTCTGAAATCAATAAAGATATACTTAAAAAAAAAAAAAAAAAAAAAGCCATCTGAAAGCAAACAACTTAATCCAAAATAACAAATGTGAAATCTCTTTGCTCAGTGACCTTAGAGGGGTGACTTAATGTCTCTGGATCTTTGCTATCTGTAATTGAGAAGGTTTGTAGGTATGGCCAAGATTTCCCAGATTCAAGACAGTATAATTATAACAGATTTTTTCCCCCTATTTTAAAGATGTGGAATCTATTTGCTCAACGTTCTTTTATATCATATGGTGGTAATGCTTTTACAAATTGTGTTTGCATGTCATTAGTTATATCAAATACCTTTTGTGGCACAGGGTAGTGGGGCTCCCTTCCCATGTATATATCAGTGAGGCCTTTAAAATTATTTAAGGCAGTCCTTTGTGGAATGTTTTGATTTAAGCAATGAAATAAAGTTTCCCATTTTGTTTCTGCTTGTGTGATGATGTACTTCCCTTAAACCTTCTACAGCTCTTGCCATTGTATTTTTCTTCTTCTTTTGTCCACTTAATGTCTCCCTTTTCTCCTCACCCTTCTGCCACTTTCAAGCATTCTATCATTGAAAGAATTTGGATTGCTCTGCAAAATAAAAGGAGTCAACCACATGTGGACCTGGTAGCCAAAACTGTAGGTAAATGTTAGCTTTCATCTTACCCTTCCCACCTTCCTTTCAAGAACTCTAGCTGAGCTGCATAAATTATTTTAAAATGCAAATGAAATCTGCCTCTGCAGGAAAATTGTGGGAGGCAATAACTATAGCAATCTGAGTGGTTAAAGGTCTAGAAGGCAATAAAATATTAGAGATTTTCCATGATAAATGAGAGGCTTGATGTGACTAACAGGGTAACAAAGGTCACAAATATAGGTATGACCCACCTTGAGAAAGATCAAAATCTAAACCAGCAGGGTAGTAACAATAATAACTAATGTTTATTGCACGCTTGAACAGTTACTCCAACTACCAGAAGAATCTTCGTGTTTCAGCAGAGTGTGCTGTAAGCCTTCTAAATGAGGTAAAACATTTGGCAAGAGTTGAGGATCAATAAGCCTAAAACTCAGGTGTTAGAAACCACTGCTTTTTCCTTGCAGGCCAAGACTTTCTGAAATTATAAGGTAAGTCCATGGGAAATTATGGTTTGATGTGCATATGGAAAGTTTTCAAGAAACATATATTGCCTAGCAGGAGGTATACCTGTTGAAGGGTATTTCCAACTGACGCACAAAAAAATAATTGTTTATAAGTTAAGGCAATTTAGCTGGTTAGAATTATCACAGGAAAGAGAATCACTCCTTTAATAGGGAGAATTGTTGATGTAGATGCATGTGAGTCACGTCCAGAGTCAGTTTTTTTAATCAAGTTTTTAATTTCCTTTACAGAGGGTTGGAGGTTGTCTTGGAGCACGTCTGCTTAACTAACGGAGACCAGGGTGTGGGTAATGCACATAAGACCTGTGTTTATTAAGTGCCAGGCACAGTTCTAAACACTTTGCAGGTACTAACCACAACCTTAAACAGGTATGTCCTGTTAGTATCTTGATTTTAAAGTGAGGAAACTGAAGCCTAGAGAAATTGTAAGTGGTCGTCCAGACCTCACAGCTAGGTAAGTATCAGAGTCGGGATGGCATCCTGTGTTCCTCCCATTACAATGTCCTGTTGCAGAAAAGCAAGGTGGTCTCAATCTCAGCCCTTTACCCACTCAGTGACCTTAGGCAAGTCACCTAATTTTCCAAGCTCTATGTTCCTTTTCTGTAGGACATAAGACTGGCAGTACCTACCCTACAGGCTGTGGGGAGAGGAGCATAGGAAATGAGTAGGTAGAGAGTTCTTTGTGAACTGCAAACCAACCTGAAATATTACCAGGGCTCCAGGTTGGTCCCTCAGGGGTACCTATCTGGCTGCACTCCAAAACAAAATAGCTCGGATTGGTGGCTTTGCTTTACAGGATTGCCATTCTTTACCATGTTAGTAATTGTATACATAAATAACAATTGAGCCCTGGCCGGCTGTCAGCTGGTGCACTGGAGGGTTGTGGGTTCAATTCCCAGTCAAGAGCATATACCTGGGTTGCAGGTTCAATCTCAAACCCTGGTCAGGGCATGTTTAGGAGGCAACCAGTCAATGTGTGTCTCTCACATCGATGTTTCTCTCTCCGCCTCCCCCCTCCCTGACACTCTCAAAATCAATGGAGAAAATATCCTCTCTGGTGAGGATTAACAAAACAAAAAAAAGGCTTTGCTAGGAAAAATGTGTTCCACAAAAGGGAAATTATTCCATATTCTCTATATAATATTGATTTAATTAAAATAGATATAACACTTTTTCTTAATTCACATTCCTCTAGAATCCCTATTCCCACCTTCCAGAACTAGACAGTTGTCATTCAGCCCTCAACACAGTTATAAAGCTAGTCACACCTAGTGTCAATAGGTAGTTAGACCTGAGCAGAGCAAGGATGATGGGCCAGGTACAGAAGGTCACCAGGGTGGAAAGCCCTGGGTGCCTAGCAAGTGGCAAAACTGGGAAAACAAGAACCTTGCCCCCAGGGTAACTTTTCCTCTCCTAGAATATAGCTGGTGGTGCAATTTAGACACCGCCCCCCCCATCTTTTCCTCCCTAAAGGTAACAACTAGGCCTCAGTTGTATTTCAGCTCCAGACTAGAAAAGCAGCAGAACCAGACAAGTGACTCCGTGGCTGCCTCAGGACCAGCTGTATTGACTAATGACCTCCTGCTGTGGCACAGACGAAGCCATGGAGACCAGGACCCTAAAAGAATACACCTGAAAAGCTGATGAATATCCTATTGAGACCCTCCCCTAAGATTCCCACCTGCAAGAGAAATACCCTCAGCACAAAGGACCCAGGGTTCACTCTCCATCTAGGGAGCAGCCCCCGCCATTCCCTTTCCCCTCTTCTTCCCTCTCTCCTCCCACAGGCGGGCATCTCCTAAGCTCTAAAGGACCCCAGGAGACTTGCAACCAGGGAAGAATGGGCTGTGGCAGCTCGTCTCAGGCTAACCCCTTGAATCTGTCCCCAAGGCCCCCTTTCTCTGACTTTCCAGAGAGCTAGGGCAGCCCAGCCTCAGCTCTCCTGTTGCTGCTTCTGTGCTAAGCCCTTTCTTGTCTTACTGTCCCTAGCTTTTTTTTTTTTTTTAATTCTCATCTGAGGATATTTTTCCATTGCTTTTCAGAAGTCCCCTTTCCTGTAACCCCAGGACGTGCATCTCCCCTCTTTTGGGCCTTTTCCTGGAAGACATTATTCGACCTTTTAAAATGTTTGCATAAACAAACTCTATTGCTCTCCGGAGAGCTTTTTCCTTTGAACGTCTGTCCGGGCCTCACCATTCCAGAACTGCCACACCTCAGGCCTTGACCCTTGAATGCAGAAGTAGCCTCAGGTGTGACTACTGGGAAGAGGAAAGAAGGAAGAAGAAGAGAAGAGGGCCTCAGAGAGAGAGGGGGTGCAGGCCTCTCCACCAGGAAAAAAAGTGCTCCCAGTAGGAAGCTGATGCTGATTTAAATTTCAAAGACAATAGGTAAACACCCGACGCCACCGTGGCCAAGCTGTGATAACAACACTGCAGGGTCTTTGAGAAGATTGCTTTATAACACTTGCCTCCCCCCACCCCCA